AGAGAGAGAGAGAGAGAATTCCGTGTAGACCAGATCGATACAAAATTGCTAATAGGAAGAAGACAGGGTGTGTGTAGACCACAAACAAAGAATAATAATGTAAGAAAAACAAATCTGAGAAAATCGGCTTGAGCTTGTTTGTTGTGGTCATTGCGCGTTGTATTGTTCTCTCCCTCTAAACACTTTGCCACTCAGGTTTCTTCGTGCACCGCCAGGATCCTCCGTTATAAACCGTCTGTTACGAGTTTTCCCTCCGCCCGTTACGAGTAACAATAAGCATTTTTTCTACGATGCTTTGCACGAGGTACAAATTCCTGTACTCAGTATTTATCGTCAACAAGCGGTCTGTTGTTCATGAACAAATCGATCGATGGTCTCAGAGATGGAATTACAGAATTTGGCACACAGCGCTGTCTGCTCGAATTCAATCTCGACAATGTGGTCCGGTTTTCTTTTCCCACAACAGCACACGGGAGGGCGGAAAGGGGAGGGATGGCAGGAGGGGGGATGTATAGGATCATGAAGTCTGTTCTAGCTTACAGCTAGTTTAAAAACAAATTATGAAGCTTTACGTTCTTCGTGGCTTTTCCTGTCTGCCTTTTAAGCTTATTTTCCTGATAAATTCTCAAATTTCTTCGATTTTTTTGCAATGTGCCGGCCTGATTTGCAAGCTTGACAATAAGCTCAGCAGCCAGACCAGCTCTCTTTCCCATAAACATGCGGTTGGTTCCAGTAATAATGCCACACGTGAGAAATGTCTTCTGGCCTTTCTTCTGGTTTTTTTCTTCCATTAGTACGCAAAACATAGCCGTAGCTGTGCCAAACCACCAAAATTTCAAGTTGAATTTGCATTTTTTTCTACTTTTGTTTCTCCTCTGTAACCCCCCCCCAATAAATAAATAGATAAATAACATAACAAGATAAATAAATAAATAAATAAGTAAATAAAAGAACTTTAGAAACATAAACTCACTACAAGATTTTCTTTTTAACATAGTGACATAGACAATTGTGAAAGATTCAGATCTCGTTGCCTCTCTTTTGCGCCAAAAATGTTGCCGAATTACATTATGAGGCGAGTTCATTAAGCGTGCACAATACTAAGGCCTCATTTTTTAAAGAGCTTTTAACAGGTTAACAGAATGGCAGGAACAGCTCATCAATACCAGATTGTAGTATATGCTATAGCTAGTTCTTATCAAAGAAACAGAAATGTGAATCGGCAACGACAAGACAACCTTCCAATGCAAAATTAGTTACGGTAGATCTATTCCAAACCAGTCAAAGTCTGATTTCTTTATTCTGATAACATTTAAATAAGGTAATCGTTTTATCGATTAAAAATACTACCCAGCAGTCCTCTTTCTCTGAGAAAATCAATTTTAGACGATTGACCCCCTGCCCCCACCTCCCCCCTTTTCCTTTTCCGAAAGGAAGATGGGAGAAGAAAGGATTAAATTGATTGAAGTTCCACCGTTTTACAGCC